ACAAAGACCGGAATTTATTTATTGTTGGGCTCGATTTCGTCAGGAACAGGTGTGTGTGTGTGTTCTGTGTGTGTGTGGTAGAAAATGGGGCTTGGGGAGTTAGTTAAAGGGGAATTTAGAATCAGCGGGACGCTGAATCGATGATGGGTTCATCGTTTTGTTGAAGGGAAGGTGAATGTAACGTATGTTTTGCACATGTTGTACAGATGTTGATTGCACATGGTGCTAGTATCGTAGATAGTTGGTTTTTTACAGAGAGAATGGGGTTTGGCGGCGCTTTAGCTTAGAGATGAGAAATAGTTAGGCTGGGAGAACTTCAGACTAGTGGACGCCGTTATATACAGATGGTGGCCATCTGTTTGCATTTCCCGACGTCTTTAGAAAGTTTGACAAGAGCTGGAGGGTAGGTGTGGTGGACCTTGGCTAGAGGAGAGTAGAACTGCCTGTATTGGATCGAGGAGAGTGCATATATAAGATGGAAGTAACTCCAGGGGGTGAACGGTCGGAGACTGGGGGGCGACTGGGAAACGAGACAGGACGGGACGTACTCGAGATGGCGCTGAGTCTATGTCCGTGTGTAACAATAATTTCTTTAGTGAAGCGACATAATTCTATGATGTCTTCTTGATTATTTGTATACTTTAAAATTATACATACAAACTACGTCCCTACATTGTTATCTGAGCATGGCTTTGCAGTGAAAATACATTTGTTTTTATGTTAATTTAGCTTTTATTGTTGGATTTACCTTTCTGTATTATTTACATAGTCTGCTAGACTACTAAAATCCCTGGCCCCTCCCCCTCTCAAAATCAAAATGGTTGCTGTCCAAGTACTTACACGCACGTCTGGGGCTGCCACCTTTTGCAAGCTTGTCGTGCCTGGCGCTTCCTCCACAGTAAGGCTTCACATCTTCCTGGTTGATAGTAGCAGCCAACAGAAGTCGGATGCTACTATCTATTGACCTTACTTCTTCTGAAATATTTACATAAAAGTATATAAAAGAAGTCTCAAGCAAATGGGGGCTACTAGCATAGATGATTATATCCCCTGAACTAAAGGTATTAAAACTGTGTTTACTGTCCTCGGACCAACCTGCTAAATTTCCTGCAACTTTACGTTTTTTCGGAATGACCTGGTGTATGTGCTTTGGGAGCAGATTTATTCCAGATTACATTAACAAAAATGTACAACGATTCATACAATAGCTGGCAGCACTCATGTATGAAAAAAAGTTCATAGAAATCGCAATACTGAAAGGTGAGATTTTCAATACTGAAGCTGATTTTTTCCTATCATTTATATAATCAAAAAATTCTTCTCAAAACAGAATACAGCATCAATATCGAGAACTTTTCACCCCATGAGCACTTTGTGTGGCTCTTTGATTGTCAGGTAAATATCACATGACACCTGGGCTTTGTAGCTGGGTTGACTGTTGTAGATATGTGTGAGAAATAAGTGTTTACATGTCTGCTGAAAATTGCACATCATCACACACGATCATGTATAGTTAGTCGGTACCATGTCTATCATAAATGGTATATTACTGGGTGAACCTAATACATGTGTAATTCTCAGTTATGTAATGTGTTCCAAAACCTGTTACTGTATAAATTGTACATATGATCATATAAATATATGTATACAATAGTCAACTTACAATTAACGTGTTGTGCTTGTTTATTTGCAAAATACATAAAATATTTCTTACCCTCTGTCAGGATCGTGAAGGAGGACAGGATGGCAGTATTAGTCCTCTTTTATACCGGACTGTTGCCGGATCGTGTTGACGACCTCAGCAACAGTCTCGGCCATGCCTGTGCCTTTACCAACTCGCAGAAGTTGGCAAATAATGCTGGCCGACAGTTTTTCCGGGCCCTCGATACGGCGCAGCAGCTCTGCGCCAGACACACTGCAGAGCTGGTTCCTGGCCGAATTTGAGGAACATGCCGTCAGACGGCTGGAGACCACTGCTATGCGTGCTGAGACAGAATAGAAAAATATAATACATGTAGTTCTGTATACTAAAAACAGACCTGGCAGTGTCCGCTAACATTAGATAAACTAGAACTAAAAGATTTTTTACCAAAAAATTTAGATTTCAAATTTAATACCACAAAAATGGAATAAAGGTATCCTACAGAGATTTCTGTTATAGGTGCATTATGCCTAGTAGTCATTTCAATATCGGGTATCAGTCTGTATAGAGCTCGATTATGCCTGTAGTCATTTCAGATAGCTAGTCTGTTTATAGACGTGATATGCCATAGTAGTCATTTTAAATTAGGTAGTCTCTGTTCAGGGATGTGATATGTCTGTAGTCATTTTAAATACAGTCTCTGTTAGAGTGATTATTGCTAGTTTAGTCCATTTTTAAATAGTAGCGAGTCTGTTAGAGTGATATGCCTAGTAGTCATTTCAATAGATAGACTGTTAATAGGCATGATATGCCTGTAGTCATATTACAAAATACTTGGCAGGCTATTATTCTTATTATATCTATTAGTCCAGTTGCCAAAATGTTTGACCTGCAATAATTAAATTACTCTCCGCCAACTTTTTTTCATTGAAATTGTTCTATATAGTTAGCTGAGAGCTGGAATTAGCCTTGCGTTCGCTACCTGTGTCAATCGTTGCCAGCATTTCTTGAGAATTCAAGAGTGGCCGCCTGCTCGATTCATCTTTGGATATTGCGTCAATTGTTACATTTGTGCATCTCGATGCCTAGAGGGTCATGCCATACCTTTTTTTAGGTGTTGTCGCTTCCGAGTTGGCGAGGGAGTCCATTTCTGGATGCTTAATTTTTGGATAATGCGCGGTCAAGGTCAAAGGTCAAAAAATGGAGTAGCGTCGAACGCTTCTTGTAAATAAGACACTTTAATGCTCAATTTTCTTTCTGTTCAACTGAGATGTTAGATAGGCGGATGTTTCAATCGAGAATTCATTCATAGCAAACGCGAGGCCTTCAAACAGTACCAAGTAAGACAGTAGGTTGGTCACGAAGCCTCTATGAGCTCCTCATTCTCATTACTCCTCTTAATCCGCCGATACATGCATCCTATTGTTCATCTTTCGTCAGTCGACACCTCACTTGCCTCCTCTTCATTGTCTTACGCGCAGGTGTCATCGAGATTTTTCTTCAAGTAATTGACTTTACAGGTTACGAGCGCCAGCCTCCTACCCTCTGCACTGTGCAATAGTGCGTGTGCATGATAGGCCTGCACGGGTTGCAGCTGCAACGTGGTCCCGCCCTGCATGTCTGCCCCTTTGCCGCTGCAGCTGCCAGCTCACTACAGTCCAGGAGCATTGGTTGTGAATGCAAGTGCTCCAACGTATCCCTCGACCGTCAAGGAGAAAACCGATTGCTCTCTCGTTCAGCGACTCATAGCCAATCGAGAGGGCTTTATACAGCTGCAGCAACTTGATTTACAGGACCTTCGCCAGCTGTCAATCCACCTCTGATTCCAATAAAAGGCTCTGTCTAGCAGAAGAGTCTCAGCAGCTTCAATTCGTCCTGCGGTGAGTTTCAGTCAGGCAGCGGAGAGCGCAGCCTGGCATGTCGCAAGTCTGAGGAGTGACAAGCTGCTCGATGTGGGCGGGCTTCAATGCCTCAGCAAGGAGCCGACCAGCGTGCGTAGCCAGGGGGGGCGGTGGGGGGCGGTCGCCCCCCCAAAACGGCTCAATATCTGGCTGCCCAAAATGGGCCTTAAATATTCAAAATTATTAACGGGTCTTAGCAAATTATTAGCAATCAATGGCTCGGCACGTGCCAAACGTCGAGCGGTTGTCAAATTTGCCATGTGGCGTGCACTGTTAGGTATGCATTGTATAATGTCACTGTACGACTGTGTGTTGTGTGTGTGTGTGTGCTGTGCGCGTTGTGTTGTGTGTGTGTGTGTTGTGTCGTGTGCTGTTTGATGGACGGTCACTAGTATTCAGGTGATGTGACTGCTGTGTGTGGTGTGTGAGAGCTGTTATCAATTAAATTGACTGGCTGAGCGTTGTTTTCAGGGCTGCTGTGTGCGTCCTTGGTGTGCCGTCGATGCAGTGTGCGTTTGCATGACGGGCCTGTGGGAGTGTGGGTGTATCGTGTATATATAGCCTGCGTGCTCGTGTGTTGTGTGTTGATCGTGTGCTGTTGATGTGTGTGTCACGGCGGTTTGATGAGGCCGCTCATCAGGATTTGACTAGTGAGGGCCCTGTATCATATTAGGTTGACTGGCTCGAGGTTGTCCTCAGGCTGTTTTGATGAGAGCTGTATCAGCGGTGTTGGACTGA